TTTTTCTTCAGACCACCTTCCTTGGGGCCTAACCCTGTGGTCAAGAGACCCTCGAGCTCAAGCCGAAGAATTGAAATTAGCAGACGCTGTCGCACGGGCACGGAAAAGATGTCTGCCCCAGTGGAGGCCGTGTCACACGCGCTCCCTACGCGGCAGCCTCGCAGCACGCGATGGCGCCCGCCACAACGTGGATCCCTTCCTGTGAGGAACAAGCCGGGCCTCTGCCAGCTCTCGCTTGAAGAGCCGTTCTCCACAGGCTGCAGCTACCGAGACCATCCTGCAATTCCTGGTTCTTTTCATTGCTTCCCCTCGCCTGTAATTCAGTTAATTATTTATTAATTTAGTTCTGCCTTCTGGTTAGTAAAACATGAGGTTTCTTCATCTACATCACTAACTACTTGGAAGGATTATTTGCAACCTGGTTAGTGTTCACTTCACGTTTTCTGGTTTTTTTAAATAGAAAAACTCCCTGTGACATTGAAACTGGGTAAGGGAAGGGCAGGTTGGTTGCGTGCGATGCTCACCCGTCTCCAAGCGCAAGCAAACACTGGGTGCGTCAGCCACACAGCTGGTCCGGCAGGACCTCGAGCAGCCGGGAAGTCCAATTCGGGGACATGGACAGGGCCAGCCACGAAACCCGCGCTTAACACCATCCCGACGATGTAAATAATAACAGCACTACACATTGAAGGAAATCTTTATTGATTCATGTTTGATATTTGCTTGCCATTTGAAATTTCACTGACCTTTCGTTAGTCCACACAGTCGGTTTTGTTTTCTTCCTCACAAACCTTCCTCTCGTATTCCGCACCACTGTTGTCTAGAATCAAAATTGTACAACTGTTGTATGAACAAAAAACCCTGTCATTACCTATTTACGCTAGATTTTGTAAAATCTTTTAAAATAAAATACATAAATTCTGATAGTACGTCAAAATCATCATTCAAGTGGTACTTTGATTTAAAGAAGGGCTGTAACCATTTATTCTATATAAGGATTTTTTTTTTGCACAGATTTAGTGTTATGAAGATTATCTGACTGTATTAATTACATGTAATTAAAATCTATTATTTTTGCACTTAGTTTACTATCAGTGTTCCCAAGTGTCCAAAACTGCTCTTCAGCAAATTTGGCATAACTTTGATGAAGCATCAGCAGAGAGGAAATCACAGTGCTTACCTTCCAGCTCATTTTTTAACTTGAAATCTCTAGTATGAAATCCATGACAACACTGCCCAATCTCCCTAGAGAGAAGAAAAATGTAAATTATTGATTTTGAGCAGTGACAGTTTCTGCACAGAGCACATGCAAAACTACAACCCAACATGTTCTAAACCGGTTTCTGTTTTCTTAGATATTTTTACTCATGGATATGAAGGACAGTGAGGAACAGCCGTGTCCCTGAAGCTGCTTTCATAAGAGGGTTTTCAAAACTAAACAAAAATCAAACTCAAGGACAAAACATGTGTTTGATAAATACTGCTCTCTGTTACTCCAACCTCAGGGATAAACCTGGAGAGGAGCCACCCTGCCTGTGATGAGTAATGCTTTCATAAATTCTTTCTTGTTTTTTAGAAATATATAAGACTAAGCCAGGTATGCACGAGAGCTACGGCTGCGTCTCACCCACCTAACAATGGTTTGAGGGCCATGAGTCTGTGTTACATGACACACATAGAAATTGGACAATACAGAGCCTGGTTTTCCATAGTTTGCAGACAGAACTTACATTTTGCTAAATAGCATTGCTAAATTATTAGCACGGTAATTTTGCTAAGTAACATTTTAAGACGTGTCTTACGGTTATTTACTCAAAATTAATTTTGTAATTGGAAAACTGTCTATGAAATCATAAGAGAAGCTAGTGCAGACCAGAAATTGATAGCTCCGGTAGCAGTTAAGATGTAGAGATAATTAACATACCACACAGCTTGACTGCCATGACATACATTAATTTACGTGACGTCAAACCTTTTTGAAAGTGTTACTATGTTTGCCTTCAGCTTTCTCCCTTCTGGACAACACAATCCCCAAATTTAACATCTCTCCTTTTAGGTCAGGTTTTCTACACCTCTAATCATCCTTGCTACAATCACCCAGCTCCTCTCCAGTTGCTACACGCTCTTCTTGAAATGAGGACCCGAAGCAGACACGCTCCTGCTGCTTACCAACACTGAGCAGAGCAGAGCATTTCTACACATCACGACTCCCAGAAGGACACCATGTGCGGTAAAGTGGGAATTTGCATTACGCGTACCCGGCAAAGCCTGAGCTGCCATAGTTATAGCGCTATGAGAAGCTGCAGAGCTGCCATCGCATCACACGACGTGAGTCATTACATGTGAGCACAAATCATCCGAACTGGCACACATGGCCCTGTCCCCAGGCCGGACCGTGTGACGTGAAATTTAAGCTGGAAACTTCCTCTCTCACCCCGCGCTTGGCAGCGCTGCAGCCCCCCCGCAACCCTGGCCCCAGCCCTGGAGCCGGAGGGAGGCTGCAGCTCCCGCTGTCACCCAGCATGCCGGCACAGCAGGGCGGGTGGCCCAACAGCAGCCGGAGTCCGATGGGGCTGAATCTGTAGTATGGAGTCGTGTGAAATGGGTCCTCTCCTTAATCCAGCTTCTAGTATCCATCGTTGCATCATCTTTCAGAAATGATTTAGAAATCCCTCACACTGTGCAGTCTTACTGGTGAAAGCGGAAGGGGGAGCAAATTTAGTTTCATCATTTTTGTTGTTTTAACAGAGCCTCTTGCTGCTTTTTGAATTAATTGAATTTTACATGTGACAACCAGTATGACCAACAGAGGACAGCACATCCATTTCTTTTAATGATCAAAAGATCTTGAACTTGAAGCTGCCATTCACTTTTTCACTCAGGAAGTGAGAGTGACAGGCAGAGTAGAGCAGTGTGCCGTAAGTAAGCCAGCCAGCTTAAAAAGGCCTTTTTGTAATTAACTAGAGCCGTTTGGAATTCCAAGAGATTACTTAAAATAAATCTACTTCTAACCAGGCATTATTGCTAAAAAAACACTGTGGGTGCACCTCTCTGAAAGCTGAGTCTGTATTCTGAAGCAATTGTTTACTGAGCACTGCGATAACAGTTAAAACATACTTAGGAGTCAAAGCACACTTAGGATTGTCAGGTGAACTCTGCTAATTCCCCTTCAAAACTGCAGACAGACAAGGTGTCTGTAACTAAGTTTTGATTAAATGCGAGTGTTTATAAAACACTGAAGTAAAGCCAGACTACAGTGGTTTTATTGCATTTAATTTGAGGGCAGAGAAGACTCTGCAAGTCATAATGAAATTCAAAGAACAAACCCAAGGATTTCATGTGGCTGAGGGGAATTTCGTTACGGAAATTCAATTAACCTGCAAGAGTTGCACACATTGAAATCTATTATCTTTCCCCAAAAGCTGGCTATTGTGGTTTTTTTACAGCAACCTTTGCTATTCCTGGATAAATAATGCTTTATTACAAATGCATTGATATCTTTATATAATTAATAGCATGTAACAACATCTTCATCCACTATTGCTTTGCAAACATTCGCTTCTGCTTTCTATGAAATGTATCAAATAGTGTTTTTTTAAAAGATATGACTAAAGAAGGATGGGGTGTTAGACACAAGCACAAAGCAAATACACAGATCTAGGCGACACGTGAGGAATAACAGTGTCTCACGGCAGTGTGCAGGTCTGCCGCAAGTCCCAATTTACATTTGTCGGTCAGGGCCTGATCCCGTGAATTGCTGAGCAGAGTTAATTAACAGCCTAAGATACCGTTAAGTCAATGGGGACTGACAGTGCTCAGCAGTTCTCAGTATTGGGGCCCTTAAATAAAAGCCAGCCTATGGATTCCTGTTCATGCGAGTAACGATACTGCACGCATCTACAGTAATAACATGAATTATTCACATCAGTGTAGCGTGAAAGAATCAAGCCACAAAGCCTGTTTAAAATAACACACTAACATTAATTAGCATTCCTGTGATACATGGCAGGGTTATCATTTGGCCCATTTTTCACTCATATGCATATTCCTTTTATTTGCTGTGTACATAGGTCTGATATGAGGACATGGGGGAAAGTAAATACAGGAGATAAGACATCTATAAACATTAGTAGAAAACGATGGAAGGGGGTTACTGATTAGCTTTCTTCGCATATGAAACTCCTAGATCATATCGGAGAAATGTGAGTTAAGTGTTTTACCATTCTTTTTTTAACCATTATCTGATCAGAGAAGCATGAAAAGCACTTTATTGCTCACTTGATTTTTTTTTTTCCCTGTGCTAGGAGCCCTCTGCAGGAAGTGAAGCTGAATTTCACAAATCTTCCCTTTCTGACGTCTCCCGAATTTCTAGGAATGCCCCTTCCCTGTTACTATATTTGGAGGTAGTTTCTAGGAAAAAAAAAAAAAATATAAAAAAAATTCGGACGGTCTCGGACTTACCACACCTACTCTCGGAGGACTCTTGAGCCCCGGGTCTGCTGGCACGGCCCCCGCGGAGTTGAGGAGCTCACGGCTCGGGCTCAGCAACTCCCGGCGCAGCCTGCACGTCTTTGTAGCACTGTTGGAGGAATGAGCATGGAGAGGGAGTGGGAAGGGGAGAGGTGTCTTTGTGGCAACAATGAGTGAATCTTCTCTAGTTTTTTTCCTGGTGGCTGCTCTTTTTTTCCCCGTGCACTTTTTTTTTTTTTTTCTTTTTTGAAGGAAGAGGATCTTAAAGAAAAAAAAACCAAAACCTTCTGGATTTTTTCTCCCCCCCCTCCGCTTCCCCTTCTCCCCCTCCCCTTGATGTGGCCTCTTGTTTAGCTTGTGGCGTGACCGTGATGAAGAAATGTTTCTGGGCGCCTGGCAGGGTGATCTTTTTATGTAATGAGTCAGGATTTTGCCAACGGAAGGAGCCGGCCCGGAGCGAGGACCGAAGGGCTGTCTCCTTTCAAGAACGGGAACCTGCCAGGCGACCGGCTCCCTCTCCCCGGGATCCCGCTCGCTTCGGGCGTTTATTTATTCACGGCTTTGCGGGGGCAGCGCCG